TCTCTAGAAGTCACTAACTTTCTTCTTCTGTGTCCTGGAACCCTTGATTCCCCCATCAGTGAAAGCTGAAAAGTCAGTTTTTAGTGCTTGCCCTTAAAGTTCAAAGGGCCATTTCACCAAAGTCTCGGGGGATGCATCCATGCTTTGCACACCTTTTGGGGCTCTCTTTGGAGTTGTATCTGGGGGAAGAACCCAGGGAGCAGTGCCTGGTTCCTGGTATTTGCCACTCCACCATGAAGTATAGAGCTGAGCCAGGTCAAGAGGCATAAATACAAACACAAATACGTACAAGCTGGAGGAAGATTTCAGAGATGGGAGTTGGAGGCTGAGACCTCCCATGAGGGAGGCCTCCTCAGAGGTCTGCCACCGAGCCAAAGGGCAGACGGGACATCTGGCGAGGAGGTGACAGGCTTTGGGACAACCAGCGAGGAGCAGAACAGACTTTTAAGTTGGCAGTCACAGCTTCAGCGTGTGTTTGGAATCTGGACAGCTAGTCTGGATCCAGGTGGCCAGATCCACATCTAGATGGATAAAGAGGAAGAAGAAAGGAGTGGGGCGGGGGTGGAGAAGGAGAGGGTGATGGGAGGAAGGGAGAAGGGAAGAGAACAGGAAACCGTCTTGACAGGGACGTCAGAGCCCCTGGCTGACACCCTCGATGCTGACTGCCCACCCACCTGAGACGTGTGATGCTGGCATGTGGGACTAGACCTAAGAACAGCCTCCACGTGTTTCCATCCCCAGCCTCTCTCTGCCTCCTGGTTCTGCCGGCATCAGCACACACTGGCAGGGCTCCTCTTCCCCCACAGTGAGTAAGGCTGTCCCCAGAGGCCTCCTACCTTCCTGATCATAGGGAAGGCAGGCAGTCACTTTCCTTAGAGCACAAGTGGGGTATCTTCAGCCTCCCCTAGGAAGGCCGGGTGGCAGGACATGGGCTGGGGTCTGTCCCAGGTGTTTCCAGGTGTGTGTCAGAGCAGCTGCATGTCTCCTCAGGCCAAGAATAACCTTCAGTCATTCGCGTCTTCAGTTTTACATGCAATTACTGGTGTATCAGGTTGTGTGTGTTTTGATCATTCATGGCTTTCTGTAATTATTTAAATGTTATTGGTATATATTATACAAAATAATGGGCCTTGTTTTGAGACTTCACACATGTACATAATTACTCCTGTTATCGTCTCTTGTCCCCCACCCCCTTTTTTCTTTCCAAATTGTCTCCTTTACACACACACACACACACACACACACACACACACACACACACACACACACACACACAGAGTGATAGAATCTCCCTAGCATACAGACCAGGATGGCCTTGAACTCAGTTTTCCTACCTCTGTCTCCTGAGTGTGACACCACTCCTGACTTTTTTTTTTTAAATGTAGATTCCACATATGAGACACAATGTGATTTTCATCTTTCTGCATCTGGCGTGTCTCACTTACTGGGATGATTTCTACCTCCATTTTCCTGCAAACAGCAGCATTCTGTTTCTCTTTATGCCTCTGTGGTACTGTAGTAGCGGTTTAGATTCGTTCAGGTATGTACTCAGGGGTGATACGGCTGGGCTGTGTAGTATTTCCATTCTTAGTCTTTTGAACAATTTCCATGCTGATTTCCATAGTGGCAGCACCCGTTTCTGTTCCGACAGCAGCATATATGGTTCCTGGTACCTGCATCTTTGCCAGTGTTTGGTGCCTTTTGCTTGATGATAGCCCTTCGTACTGGAGCAAGATAGGATCCCAGTAAACTCTTGATTTTCATTCCCCTCATTGCTAATGATAACATACGCTTTATGATTCTACTTTTGAGAACTGTTTCCTATGTGAATTTTAGAATTTTTTTCTAGTTCTGTATAGAATGTCATTGAAGTTTTGATAGACTTATCTCTGCCATCTTGTTTCACGGCTACTTTTTGTTTTGTTTTTGCCTTGTTGCACATCGCCCCATGTGCTTTGTTCTCTCGAACTGACTAGGAAGTCCGAGGTTTTATTTCTGTTTTTCAGAGTTATGGTATAGACATTAGAGTATGCCTACTTGTGTTTTCCTATCAACATCAGGATATAATCAGGTTCTGTAGCCTCTTCCCAGAGAAAGCAAACTTCAGGCAGGGTTAAATATCCGTTAACCTTTGCCAGAATAAGGACATCACTTTACTACTGGGATTACTGAGGCTGGGAAGATGGCTCAGAGGTTAAGAACTTGTCTGCTCCAGCACAGGAGCTGGGTTGAGCCCCCAGCATTCACGCTGGGGAGTTCACAACGGCCAGCAACAGCTCCGACTTCTGGCCTCTGGGCACTGCACTCCTGGAACTTACCAACACACACACACATACAAAATTAAAAAGAATAATTTTAAAAGTTTAAACTAGTGTTTTCCTCCTCTTCAGATTTTAGAGATTTTTATATTTGGAAATAAAGCATTTCAGAGCCCTTCAGATGTTGAACTTGCTACTTAGGTATACTCAGCCTGTAGCCGATTACCTGTTCATGGCCCCCTTCTCACACAGGGTTCCTCATAGACGTTAGTTCTAAATTGTCATGTGTTCTCTTGCTCTGAATTTGCGCTGCTGCAGTTCTAACCTACCTCAGCCAGGCCAGGCAAGTGCTCTGCTGTTGAGCTAGATCCCGGACCCCTTTTACCTGTTTATTTTAAAGCAGGGCCTGGCTAAGTTGCCTGGGTTCACCTTAAACTTCCCGTCCTCCCCTCTTAACCTCATTAGTAGCGGAGAAGTCAGATCCAACCACCAAGCCTGGCTTCCAGAGTCTTCTAATTGAGCAATAAGTGTTCTCTTCATTCAAATGTTTTCCTGGCGGAGACCATTTATAATGCCGCTCATCCTTCTCTTTCCTGGATTTAGTTTTCACTTTGATGATTTATGTTCTCCAAGAGTTCTTTTAGAAAATGTGGGAATGCTCCTGCAGTGTCAGATATGGGCAGTTCCTTCCCAGGGGGCTTTTGTGTTATTGCTGTTTTTTTGAAGATAGAATGTCTTGTAGCCCAGGCTGGCCTTGGACTCCTGGTCCTTCCACATCCACCACCCAAGTGCTGGGATTGAAGGTGTGTGCCACCATGCCGGGCTTTAAGGGCGTCTCTTTTATTTTCAGATTCACATTGAGCTTTGATTTTTGAATGCTCCCTAGGTTATTTTTATAATATATTCACAGACTTTTAGTGCATATATTAACTACAGTATGAGTATTGTGACTTCTGCTCACGTTCATTTCTTCCCATGCACAGAAACCAATCATATCACTTTTGATAGGCAGCCAGAGTAGGCTTTACCTAGGAAGAAAGACAGGACTGGAAGATCCAGCCTACCTTAGAAGTGGAATCCTGAGGGGGCGGTCCTCAGATCCTCATTCTGTGGCTTTCCCTGCCTCCTGTCCACAAGTGATTCTACATGAGGACCCCTCCCCTCTTTCTTCTCAGGATCTGACTTGAGGTATTGCACGGGATCTGCCAGGCTCGTGTGAGAAACTGAGCCCCGCAAGCTCTGGCTTCTTCACTCGGTGGCTCAGCTTAGGGTCCCGCCGCATGCTCAGTACAGCCATGTCTTAGAAAGTGTTCAAATCTTGTCACTTTTCTCCCCAGCAGTGGTTCAGCCACTGCCCATCTCATGTTGCCTGGATGATCTGGAAGCCTCCTAACTTGTCCCCCACTCCCTAGCCTTGGACCAGCCTTCTTACAATGTCCTCTGGATCCTGTCTTAGCCTACATGCTCCACCGGGCCCCTGTCCTGCTCAAGATGAGGGAGAGCATAGGGCAACAGACTCTCATGGCCTTACCCACCCCCAGCCCACCAGCTGTTGGCCACACCTCTACCTCTGAGTTTTTTGGGTATTCCCTCTGCTGGAATGTTGCTTCCGGGGGTCATGTGACTCTGATCCCTCCTGCATTTATTCATTACTGAGAAGTTGCCTCCTGGGAGAGGGAGATAGCTTCTTGACCTATTCAGAATAACAACAAAGGCTGTAGCCACCCTTCCCCTGACTAGATTGACCCTCTACCATGTGTTCACCTCTGGTGAAGTCATGCCAGCCATTCAGTTGTTTATCTGCTTCACTACTGGATTTTTTTTTACCCCATTTACCTGTAACCAAAGATCCTACAGCCTGCCTGGCGTATAGTAGGTATTCAGATAGTTCTAAAATTAATAGACAAAATTACCTAACCTCCCAGCACTCGGGAGGCAGAGGTAGGTGTATCTCTGTGAGTTCGAGTCCAGCCTGGTCTACAAGAGCTAGTTCCGGGACAGGCACCAAAGCTCTAGAGAAACCCTGTCTCGAAACCCCCCCCCCAAAAAAAAATTACCTAACCTTGCTCTCCTTTAATTATTCAAATACAATACAGGTACTTTGGAGGTTGGCTCTCAACTAGACAGGAGTACTTTGTGTCAGGAAGGAAGAGTGAGCAATGGGGGTTCCTGAAGTAGGAGTGTGAGGGTGACAGGGGGCTATAGTGGCCCCCCAGCTACCACCCAGTTCCTGCCCCGGATGCCCCTTCCTGCCATTTCCATCCTAGGATGGTCCTTGACTACTGGAGACAATCCCTGTCCACACAGGGCTTAGGCCCTCCTCACTGGGCTGGTTTCTTTGGCGCACTCTCCACACCTGAAGGCCTCAAGGTGGAGGTCCTTTTTTCTGTATACGTGAAGGAGGAAATGGAGGTGCTGAGGGTCAGGTGCACCCCAGAGAATCCCAGTTTTTAAGGGCTAAACCAGGAATCCATGCCTAGCTCTGGGGTTCCCCAGAGGGACCTGTGAAAGCTGTCTCTGACTTCATGAGGCCATAGCGTCATGGTCCAGGGAGCACAGAGGCTGAAATGAGTCAGACAGAGCCTTACACAGAAGCAGCCTCTGAGGTGGCTGGAAGTCCTCCTCTGAGGACAGCTGGGACTGAGCTGCAGAGGGTAGTGGCAGCTGTAGCCTGGGGCTCTACAGTCTAGAGTGGCTCCATGGGATCAAGGGCAGCCCCTGAATGACCTAATTCCTCTCCAGTTCTAGACACAGCAGGGCAGGAGGAGTTCAGTGCCATGCGGGAACAGTACATGCGCACTGGGGATGGCTTCCTCATCGTGTACTCAGTCACTGACAAGGCCAGCTTCGAGCATGTGGACCGCTTCCACCAGCTGATTCTGCGTGTCAAGGACAGGTGAGAGCAGCAGACAGGACCTCCCTACTCCAGGAGAGCACCATCCTCCCTCTCCCTCCCTGTCCTCCTCTCTACCCCTCCCCCTCTTCCTTCCTTCCTTTTCTCTGCCCCCCCCCCATCTTCCATTACTTCCTCTAAGGTCTTCCCTGACCCTTTCTTGGTTCCTAAGCTGCTCCCAAGACTCCAACACTCATGCCCCTCCTGTTTTCAAAAAACGTCCCTCAATCAAGGAATCGTGGGTATTGTCTTTGCTTTCCAACTCCAATTTAACCAAATTGCATTATATGCAAAGAAAAGTGAATTTCCCCTCCAGAACACACTGAAATTGGCTAAATTGCATTTGACTATGAGATTTACAAGTTGCACATTAAAGGCTTTTTTTTTTTCCCCCTTCACACCCTATAACAATTAAATCACCTAGTGTCTGTTCTAAGCCCATCTAACACTGCCAGTCAAAGAAGCAATGCAGAAAGAAAAAAATAAATGCCGGAAAACAGCAGGGTTTGATTAAATCCCAGTAGAGATGGAGAAATCTAGTCAATCGCCATCCCACAGGGAAGGGCTTGTAGCTTTTCGTAGCAGAGAGGCACATGCTTGCAGAGCAGGCTGCAGGTGATTGATGTGCATTCAGCCCATGAATATACGAACCTCAAAGGAGACCCCTGAGTGGTCCAGGGGTGGGGAAATCTTAATTTACTTGCTAATCAAAGAAATAAAAAGTAGCATTTTTTTTCTTACAAATCACAGGGTATTTTTCTTATGAAAATATCTAATATTGCCCAAAGTGCCATGGGGCTGAAGTTTTGTTTGGTTCTCATGTCAGTTGCTGACGGGACACGCCTCACCGTCCGGCACTTCCTCTTCTTGGAGCCATCCTTATTTTGCAGCTGCCATGTGTGCAGTACCAGCCCTGTCCCTGGTGCTCTCCATGGGCTGAGAACTGCAGTAGCTTTGCATGGTTTGCATATCAGAGTATTGGAAAGCTGAGGAGTGTCTCTGGGAAGCCAGGCTCCTCACCAGCTGCCTCAGGCCAGCCTCAACACTAGCCTTGCAACACACCCCAGGCTCCTCCTTCCCAAGCCCTTATCTCCTCTGGAAAAGAGGAGGTGCACCTTGAGCTGGTGGTGTAGGAAGATGCATCTCACGTGGCTGTTGTTCTCCTGTTTCGCAGGGAGTCGTTCCCAATGATCCTTGTGGCCAACAAGGTGGATTTAATGCACCTGAGGAAAATCACCAGGGAGCAAGGAAAAGAAATGGCAACCAAACACAATGTAGGTGTGTGTGCATGTGCGCACATGAGCGTGTATGCGTGCGTGCGTGCTTCTGTGTGTGTGTGTGTGTGTGCCATGCGCACGTGCACGTATGTAGGCACGTGCTCTGGGGACCTCAGGACTGTGTGTGACAGCCCATATGTCATCCCTCCTGCAGTGCTGGTCTCTGGAAATGGAAGTAAGACCTCCCTTCTCCTGAGAAACAGAGGCAGAGAGGCCACAGGGTACATTGTGGCAGGATATTATTTGAAACGAGCAGCAGGCCAGTGAGAAAGCACCTTCTACAGCCATAAGAGGCTCTGGGGAGGTGGGAGGGACAGCTTCCTTCAGAGTGGCCTGGAAGCTGTGGGGTTCCATGGAGGGCTGCTCTGCCTGGGGCAGCACATAGCCAACATTGGGCCATGCAGAGGTGGTAGCTCTTCCGGCTGGCTCACAATCTAGCTCTTCCGGCTCATGCATGAGAAACCTGGTGATGCTGAGTCACAGCGATCTGTTCTGTTCACTGAGTCCGTGCCCAGCACTGTACTGGGGGAGCGCGGTTATCAGATCCTCTACCCTTACAGCACAGACATCATTATCCCCTCTTGGTAAACATTAAAACTGAGATGGCTCCAGCTATAATCTGTCACAAGCATGTTAGCTTTCTGAGTTCAGTGCAGTGTGCTTGCCCTCTGGACGGTGCTGGGTCAGTCTCTGTTCCCCATCCCCATTTGGCACAGTGCACTGGGTCCTGTCTGCTGGCTGGAAAGCCTGATGCAAGGCAGCCCCATCTCTGTCCACTGGCCTACTCTCCACATAGAGAAAGGCATGCTGGGAGCTAGTTTTGCCTGTCTGTTTTCTGTATTTATTCCTTTATTAATTCCATCATCCTAGGTCCTGGGGAACAAGAGTTCCCTGCTTTTGGTGGAGACGGGCAGTAGGCAAAGTAAATTAGTTTGAGGTTGACACATCCTGTGGGAACAGGCACACCAGGAGAGGGGGGTGAGGACAGGGCAGAGGAGGTACCTTTTAAATGGGGTAGGGTGGGTCCAATTCACCAAGGACTTAAGGAGGCAAAGGGATGGCCAGACAGATATCCAGGAACATCCTAACAACAGAAATGATCTGTGCAAAAGCCCTGAGGTTGGTGTTTGCGAGCTAGCGAACAAGCTGCCGTGGCTAAGCAGGTGGAGGCGGGTGAGTAGTCAGAGAGTTGTAAGGAGTTGTGGCTCTTACAGAGGCTGAGGAGGAAAGCCACTGGATGGTTTAGAGAGAGGTGTGACGTGTGGCCGAGCAGCTTCTCTCCTGTGACGTGTTGAGAATAGTCCACTGGGAAAGGAGAAGAGCGGAGAATCATGCAGGGGCTGCCCCAGTATCACATGAGGCCGAGCAGTACGTGAGGGTGGCAAGGTTTGGCTGTGCTTCTAAGCACCAGCAGCATTTGCTCATAGACTGTATATGGGGTGAGAGAAAGAAAGTTGGGTCCATGTGTTCTGAGGCCCCTAGATGCTGAGGATTGCTGAGCTCCCGAAAGTGTAGGATGCCCAGCGGCTCCGACTGTAGGTAGTCTCCTGCCTCTCTTCCGCATATGTCCAGGGCTGCATAACATCCTGATCCATAAGTCAGGTCCTACCTGGTTCTTATCAGGGATGCTTAACATGGGTAGACACGGCATCCAGTTCGCAAGACGCCCCAAAGCTGACGTAGCGCACAGCTGCCCAAGTGGAGAAGCAGAAGGCTCACACTGACTCTGCTGGCCTGGCAACGTGGAGTTCTTGCAGGCATGCCATTCTGAGCTCTGTCTCCACACTGCCGGATGGCGCTCGCCTCTGAGAGTTAACTCAGCAAAGGCAAGAAGAAGGAAACCTGGGAAGCCAAATAACCATCCTACTGTGGAGGGTATTGTCCTTTCAGGGTTATCAGAGGCTCAAATAAAAATGATAAAGGCCTGAGCTGGGCCCTCTGTGTGTTCCTGCACTACATTGAGGCCTGTGCTGAAGCCACTGCAGTGTGTGGACGCTGGACTTCACACATATGGATGCTGACCCCTGTGTCAGGGCAAAGCTTCCCGACAGCTGCTCCAACGCCTCAGCTCGCGCTGCCAGTCTCCCCCTGCACTTATTTCCCGTGCTTAGCTTCTTTAAGTGTGTTAGAATAAAAGGCGCTAATTTTGTGATCAGGAAAAAAATAAATGTTATGAAAAATAGCAAAGCCCTTTGGCCTAACCTCAGCCAGTTTACCCCTCCCCCACCTTCCAGGAGGCCAGGGATGTGTGGAGGGATGAGCCCTTCCTGACTCTCTGGCATACCTTACCTCCCAGAGTCTGTTCTACTCAGCCTGTCCAAGGCATGGTATGGAAGTGGCCTATGAGGTGGCAGTCACAGCTCCCGTGGGCTGCTCCCATCGGCCTAGGCTGGAGAGCTGGGGGTAAGGGACCAGGGTAACCCGGGTCCAGAAGTCCAGCAGACTTCTCCTCAGCCTTCCCACTGAACTTCACTCTGGAGGAGCTCAGAGCAAAGGTCAGATCAGAGGTCACGCCCAGAAGAGGACCGAAGAAGGCACAGTATGCCTCAGTGTGGGAAGCGAAACAGTTTGCTCTTGGGTATAAAAAGACTAACTGGGTTCTATTTCAGGGAGCTATTATCTTTGCCTGGAGAACAGGAGGGGCTAGAGAAGCCATTAGCGACACTCTCCAGCCTTACAAGGCAAGAAGCCCTAGAACCTTGTGGGGGTTCTTTCTGATCCTCAGAACCTCTAGAGTGTCCATTTTAAAGGTGGAAAAGGACTTCGTGGGTCATGGTGCCAGGTTGACCAAGCTGAGCTTTGCCTTCCAGATCCCGTATATAGAAACCAGTGCCAAGGACCCGCCTCTCAACGTGGACAAAGCCTTCCATGACCTCGTTAGAGTAATTAGGTAAGCCTTGTTCCCTCTGTGACAGCTGTGCCCCTCCCTGGCAATGACCTCTGGAGTGGAAGGGGCAAGCCATATTGCAATAATACAAGAACACAGCTCCTGTGCTGGGCCAGGAGCCTGGGCAGTGCCAAGCCTGATTTGCCATTTCTTGTACGTCTTTGCATTTCCCCCTGTGCTACCTCCATCTCTGTGCTGCCCCCAGATATAATGGGACGGGGGTGTGGAGCCTGCAGGCATGATGTGGAGATCAGGTATCCTGATACTCTCAGAACCCCGAGCTTTCAACATATCCCATACATCAAAGATCAGGCCCCTCTTTCTGCCCCCTGAAACAGACAATTATGGCTCCTGGGCTCGAATTCCAGAGGCACTCGTGTGTGTGTGTGTGTGTGTGTGTGTGTGTGTGTGTTCCCAGATTCACAGCCTGTGGGTCTTCAAGTGCCAGCAGCCCCGAGAACAGACTCCTGAACGTTCCTTTAAGCCCTTTCTCACTTCATGTTGGATAACCGAAGCTGCCTCCCGGCTGTGTTCCATGCCACCATCTAGTCCGTCGTATTCTAACCATTTTACATTCCCAACACTTAAACCCCTGTCTGCAGTACCTTATGTGGGTGACTCGGAGCTAAACTTGTCATGGTGCCCCATGTTTACCACCTCTTGGTCCCCTGCCATGTGTACACCCCCGCTTCTAGCCCCACACTCTGCTGCATTGCCTGATCCCCGTGTTAGTGCCGGAAGTGATTTGCCCCCCACACTGCTGTGTACTGCTCTGGGCTGGTGGCACCAAAGGTACCCTTTGGACCTGGGAACGGTTAAGGGAAACTGTGTAACAGGCTTTTGCACTCAGTTGACCAGTTATCTAAAATATGGAAAATTCAAAAACGGAAGTCAATTCCATTGTAAAGCTTGGTGGCGCTTACAGTCTGAATAAATTAGTCACCACCTGATGTCACTGATTTTGTCAGGTGACTCTGGTTTCCCTTTCCTTCCTCTCCAGTCTTCATAGACTAAGATGCTTCATAGCCTGGTCTCCTTGGGTGGCCAGGACAGCAGCACCCTCAAGCTCTCCCTCCATCCCAGGAGTCACAGAGAGGGGACAGAGGAGGAGAAAAAGCTTGAACTGACTTTGTCTTTCGGCCCTCCATTGTTCAACAGGCAACAGATTCCAGAGAAAAGTCAGAAGAAGAAAAAGAAAACGAAATGGCGAGGAGACCGGGCCACTGGCACTCACAAACTTCAGTGTGTGATCTTGTGACAGCCTGAAACCCTGGGCATAGCAACCATGAACTGCTAGCCCCCGGGACCAGCCCACTGCCTAACTGCACTGAGAACCGTTTCTTACCGCAGCCCTTGGCTCCCAGTCCGGACTGGGCACAGGAAGGGGGCCTGGCAGGATGGGTAGGAGCAGACAGGGTCTGGCTTTGCCACCTCTCCCAGGAGACAAGCAACAGCTTCTAAGCCCAGTACCCAGTCTCTTGGTGGATGTGCTGTTTCTTTTAAGTACATAGGGCTGATTTGCTGTGGAAGTGTTTATCCACACCCAATATACTAGACAAGCCATGAACAAGCTTCCTCCCCGACCCCGTCCCCAGTGTCTGAGCTCTGATGTCTTTTGTAGATTTTTAAATTATTTGAGTAATGATTATTTTATTAAAGAGGTCTGTGCCCACTGCCTGGAAAAGCCCCAGGTCTTCAACGGACCTCTCGGATAGTGTCTGGAACAGCGCTCTTGTCTTTCTAACTGAGAGTTCCTAGCAGTGCCAAACTCCATCCAGAATGAATGACTGAAATGGCAGAAGTTAGCGGAGGCCTTGGCAGAAGCCTGGGGTGGAGTCAAACCCAGGAAGCAAACCCCAGAGACCGAAGAGAGGGCCATGGATTTATCTGGAGGATGTCGGTGTAGTTGAAAATGCAGAGGTTAGAAAAATCCCCTCCCTGCTACCCGCCCCACCCCCACAGCCATTGAAGTGAGAGCTAACTGGGACCATCTCACCCCTAAAGATGACCATTTCCTTATCCTGAAAGTGGGTGAGATCGTTTGCTTTTCAGGCAATGGGTAAATGCTGTGTTCAGATGCGGACAGGGCCCTGAGCTTCTCAGATGTGTCCCTTCCTGCTTGCTCACTCCTGTGTGTTGCTGTGCCCCTGACACAAACACAGGGGCATGTCCAAGGAGGTGACTGTGACACCATCGGTAAAGCTGTTGTTCTGTGATCGCTCTTAGCTGAAAGCACTCAACACTATCTCCCCCCCCCCCCCCCCCCCCCCCCAACCCGCCCCCCCCCCCCCCCCCCCCCCCCCCCCCCCCCCCCCCCCTCTCCCCACCCCACGCCCACCCCCCCCCCCCCCACCCCCCCCCCCCCCCCCCCCCCCCCCCCCCCCAACGCCCCCCCACCCCCCCCCCCCCCCCCCCCCCCAAGCATCAGGACCTGAAGCCATCTCCACCCGAGTCAGCTGACTGCCACCTTTCTAAGCCCAGCCAATGAGCACACCCCTCTGGCATCAGCTGACCACCACCTTTCTAAGCCCAGCCAATGAGCACACCCTTCTGGCATCAGCAGTGCGGCTGCCTCTTGGCGCACACTTCCACTGCCTTAGATCTTCTGTCTCCTGTCTTAGATCACAGGGGAAAGGAAAGTTGAGCAGGTAACACAGTCCCTACACTGCTTCAGTGGGGACACTGCTCCCCCACCAGGGTGCATCCTTCCCTCTCTGCTTCTGTTGGTGGCGTAAAGATTGAGTTTTTCCTGGTGGCTTCTGGGTTAGGGGGACCGAGGGGACAAGATGCACTCTGTGGGAGGGTCACAAGAGAAGGCAGTGCAGCCAGTAAGCAACATGGAAGGCCCCCACCAGGTGGCTGGGCCACTCTGGAAAGAGACTCATGGAAAGAAATCCAAGGCGAGTGAGCACCAAGCGGATGTCCAGCCTCATGATTCTTTTCAACCCAAAAAGTCCTAACTTGTTGACACGCAGGACCATCGTCACCGAAGGCCCCATCCAGGGGACAGTTCTGCTACAGAAGGAAGTGATTGCTAGCTAAAGATCAAACTTCTAACCTGTCAAACTGCCACCCTCCGCCCCACATTTTTCTGTTCCTAAAAAGGGTACCAAAGAGCATTTCAGATGAGGTATCTCACCATTTCCCAGATCCTGTAATACTTAGGAATTTTTCAACACTAAGAGGACCGGGCTTTCTCTGGCCTTAGGCTCCCGGAGTCGCACCCACTGCAGTTGCCACCTGGAGAGGTGCAGGCTGCTCCCCATGGAATACGGAGATGGAAGGCCCTGCACTCGGGGGAACAGCCACTACCAGAGAGCCCATCTCCTGCCCACAGCACCCCTGCATCTGGAGCCACACCTCCACCGTGCTAAATAGGGACTATCACTGGAAGCAGAGCAGTTGCCCTGAGTCACACAGGTGACTAGAAGGAGGCTCCCAGTACTCCTGCCCCTCTCAGAAGAGACAGTGCATCCAGGCCCATCATCCGGGACATCCATCCTCAACTGCCCACATGCTAAGCTAACATCTGGCCTTCTGCAGTCTCTGGCTCAGGGCTGATGGTAAACGTTCATTTCCCAGATTCCCATGTTTCCCGTAAGTGAGATAGGTAGGTAACACTCCAGAATTAGAAAGGAGCCCTTCAGCAGAGTCTCCAGAGAGCCCAAGTCAAGTATGCTCAGCGCACCTCTATCACCAGCCAACAGGAAGCCTGGAAACCTGGTTGGCCATGACACCGTGAGACCTTTGAATCTGCAGCCGAGTTCTCATTCTGAGGTTCCCTCTAGTTTTTCAGAAACCTGTTCCTATCACATCCCCTGAAGTTCACCCTCTCAGGAATCCCCTCACCCCTGCGCCTCTTTTGTGTGCTCCCATTTTCTCCCATGACTCTGACGCCTCCTTGTGGGCTCCTTTTCTCCCCCTGGTCATTCCTTCTCCCCCAGAGTGGGGCTATGCCTTGGCTACATCCTTCCCAAGCACTTTGCCACACAGGGGACATCAGGATGTTTGCCTTAGGAGTTTCCAGCCTCCCCATGGCTCTTGCTGAGGAGAGTACCTGATGGAATTAGTGTACCTGTCTTGCCTGCCAGGAGATGTGACCCACTAACCCATGCCAACTCTACCCCAGAGCCCCTCAGACCCTGCTACCCCAAGTCCAGAGCCACAGAGGGGTCCCTTCCTTTAGCAGCCCACCTGGTTGGAGACTCCACATTGGCTGGGGTTTACCTAGAATGCCAGATACTTGAAACACTGAGCCCTTTGAGTGACAGTATTAGCAGGTGGCCATTGTCGTGAAGCGAGAGTGATCCCTGGACGTCTTGACGATGCTTGAGCCTTTTATGTAACTTTTTATCAAGTCTTTGTGTATCTCTACTTATTAATAAAGAAACAAAGAGAAATGCTGTCCTTTTTCTTCTTGCTCGAATATCCCTAGTTTTGTGATTTATCAGTCCTTTATCCAAACTCTCATCTTTCCCAGAGCACGGCCTTGGGCTTAGCCCAACCCAAAGCCCACTGATAGCCATGGGGACGTCTGCAGGAAACCACTTCCTCTGCTGCACACCATCTGCCCCTCTGTCTTTTGTGGGAAACTGTTCTTATATTCCATGGGATTTGTGACCCCCACCATGACTATTTCACCCAGCTCCTTGCTTCCAATTCTCAACCCCAAAGTCTTGGACTTGCCCTTCATCCAGCCGACCCTGTCTTGTAAGCAAAGACTGTTGATTCCCCCTGCAAAATACGTCTAGAAGCTACCCTTTCCAGCTACCTCCACTGCTGACGTTTGAGCCGATGGTGCCTTTGTTCATGTCTTGTTCTTGTCTTCCCACAGTTCCTTCTCAGCACAGCCGGCAGGGAAGTTGGGGGAAATTTATGAACTTATGTCTCCACTTTGTGTACCCTATCCTCCACCTAATAGCTCCCCCTTATTTTACAGGGGTGCCAAGGTGGGCTGTGTCTTTACGCATGAGCAACAAATGCGTAGATGGCTGTTAGCTGCAAGAGGAGAGCATCGGAATGTTCCTGCCCTTCCCATCAGACACTCACTGAGTTCTGAGCCCCACAGACGTCACAGAGAACATCAAAATCACAGACTAGTGAAGACCAGTCACATACGAGGCCCACTAATTCCATCGCTGTTAAAGAGTGAAGACGTCTCTCCTAGGTCTGTCTAATCTATAAAAGTATGAGCCTCGTTCCCGCCACACACACACACACACACACACACACACATACACGTGCATTCACTTTTGAAGGCAAGAGGTCAATGTCAGGCGTCCTCCTTGGTTGCTCTCCACTTTTTTAAAACGCGGTCTCTCACTGAACCTGCAGTGCGTCAGCTGGCGAGGCTGGGCTGGCCGGTAAGCTCCAGGGGTCCGACTCTGCCTCGCCAGTGCTGTGAGGACGGATGTACGCTGCTCGCCCAGCTTTTGCCCAGAGGCTGGAACTCGGGTCCTCATACAGACACTTTATGCTGTCCCTCCTTCCATCTCCAGAAGGACTGTTTGAAGAAACCGCTTCGGTTTCCTTCGAAGGGGTGGAGTGTCGAGGCCCCGGATGTCACAGACATCAACGTTGTCATCGCCCTACAACTCTGACCTGCAGACCCAGGCCCTGTCACTAGGCCCTGAGTCAGAATCTTCATTTTGAACAAGATCTCAGTGATTCCGTGTACACAGTGACTTGAGCACCATTGCCCTAGAAGAAGTTCAGCCCAGGTTCGCTGCCTCTGGACCAAGTTCCACCTCATCCACTCAACCTGTGGGTCATGACCCCTTTGGGGGTTGAGCAGCCCTTTCACAGGGGTCCTCTAAGACCATCAGAAAACACAGGTATTTGCAGTATGATTCATAACAGTAGCAAAATTACAGTTATGAAGTAGCTGTGAAAATAATGTTATGGTTGGGGTCACCACAAATGAGGAACTGGATTAAAGGGCCGCAGCATTAGGAAGGTTGGGAAGCGTTGTGTTGGAGAAGACTTGGCTGTCAACAGCTGCGAGAGGCTGCCTAGCCACACCATGAACTCAGAAGTGTCCTCCCATAGGTGACACGTGCAACCATTAATCAGAGGATGATTTCACATCAGTTAAAGGATGAACGGGCTTCCAGGGTTTTGTTTTTTACTCTTGGGTTTTTCTTAAAATGTAGGCAATGCCAGCTGTGATGGTGGACACCTTTAATCCCAGCACTCAGGAGGCATAAATATGCAGAATACCTGTGAGTTTAGAGGCCAGCCTGGTCTATACAGTGAGTTCCAGGCCAGTAAGAGCTGCTTAGTAAGACCTTATCTTTAAAACAAACAAAAAAAAAAGCAATGATCTTGCAGATAAAATGGAATCTCCCTATCTGCCATCTGGGCTGAGAATTCTTGGGGCATCTAAATAAAGGGTAGAGCATTCTATGCAAGTGAGAGACTCGTTCCCAGGATTTTCATCTCTGTAGCTTCTGGGGCTCCAACATCACGCCGAATAACTAACATCACTATGCTCAGGTGAACATTTAAGCATAAAAAAGGGGGCTGAGTTCACAGTAAGCAAAGAACCTACAGTCTTTCAGTGCAGAGTGCAGCTGGCCACACTCATGCAAATCCTATTTCTGTTTGGTTCTGAGACCGATTGCTCGGGCCGACTAACAGAGGTAAGATCCTGGATAAGGGCAGTCATGATTCCCTGCCCTGTGGAAAGTCCAAGGTCCTCCCCCCTCAGTCCAAGGTCCTCCCCCCTCCGTCCATGTCTAGGAAGGTGAACATCCAAACTGGCTAGGCTCCCACCAAGCCGGAACATGAGGTAGGATCAAAACCCCTTGCCATTGACCTTGGCTTCTCATCAGTCCTCATTGTTTGCCATGATCAGAGAGTCCGGTTTTATCCCATGCTTTTTCAGTCACAGTCCAGCTGGCCTTGGTGAGCTCCCAATAGATCAGCCCCCACTGTCTCAGTGGGTGGGTGCACCCCTCGTGGTCCTGACGTCCTTGCTCATGTTCTCCCTCCATCTGCTCCTCATTGGGACCTTGGGAGCTCAGTCCAGTGCTCCAGTGTGGGTCTCTGTCTCTATCTCCATCCATCACCAGA